TGTCGAACCTAGCGCTGCCTCCCTGTATGGTCTGGTAGAGGACTATGCCAAGAATGCGAGATGCGTACTCAGCCGCGATCCTCAACGCCATCGGTAGCGTCCCAGCGATCTCTATCATCAAGTACACAAGGAGTCAAATCAGTGGTAGTGACCCTCTTAGAGACATTGAAAGCACGCCAACACGGAGCGTTGCCCAGGATGATCCGAGGCCATTCCTTCAATCAGTGTTGTCCGTATTAATGGGTGTGGACAACGCAATTGTTTTGAATTTGGACATCCGGATCTCATATGGCTGCTGCGCTACTCTGGTACGGCGCTCTTCATCGACGGAGCGTTTAAGGTGGTGCCAATGCTGTTCACGCAGTCCCTCATCGTGATGGTCCGAGTGGAATTGTACGTTCCGGCAATGTACATACTCATGGATTCTAAACATCAGGATGTCTACTGGACTGCGCTTAACTACATCGTTATTCAGACTGGGTGTCTATTCAAGCCGCATCAGTACATGTCACTTTGATAAGGAGCTTGTGAATGCCATGACGGAACAGTTTCCTCTCGTTAAGTTCGTCGGATGCCATTCCATTGGAAGCAAGCTCTTCGATGCTGAGTGAGCGCATCCCTCAGGACCATATTCCTTCTGCCCTAGCCTCAAATATGATTGATGTACTCACTATCATTCCGATAAACGAAATCGCGGACAAGGTATGATCTCATTTTAATATGTTGTGATTGTCTCTTTTTATCATTAATTTAATATTATTCTTATTTTATTATTTGGGGAACTTGCTACGTTCGCAGCGTAGTGGATGAAACTGGGACCAATAATAGTGGGATTCGTCTTGGCGTTACTTCAAGAACACCTGGATGAACCACCTCGATGGTGATCTCTGGAACGTCAATAACATGCAGGTGGCTGGGATTGATCTGGCCAACTGGACTAATAATCCTTTCGAACGCTACCATCGTGCGCTCGGTGAATTGTTTTCTGTAACATTTTCAAGTCTCCTTGCGTTCGTTGAAACAGCGAAGGCGGATGCACGCCGCTACGCCCAAATGATCGATGACATCAAGCATCATCATCGCTATCGGCGCAGACATGCAGAAT